GGCCAAGCTCAATGTCCTAACATGTGAAAAAAGAAAGAGTTTTAAAAATTTATTTATTTATTCACAATGTAGTCATCATTTACTTTTTCTAGAGTTGTATATCTTACCTAGAAAAGTAATAATATCAAGGATTCAGTTGAGGACCACTCAACTTCAGGACTTCAGGACCACTGGACATATTTGGCTCAGCCTGCTGGACAGCACAACAGATACATTTACTGACTGAACAGATGTTCCACAAATGCAACAGGAGTACATCTTTTAACACTGGTCAAACAGCCATAACATTATAATCATCAACAAATGAACAGTATAACTTAACTAAGGTAAATATGACACTTGGCCTGAAATACAGTATGTCCTGGCATGCAAAATCAGGCATTTTCTCAAAACACTCAACAGCCAGAAAAAAGCGGGAGTCTATAATAGCTGCAAGCATAACATTGACTTCCAAGGCAAATTTCAACCTCTGCAGCAGCTGTGGCCGCCAAATGTTAGAGAAAAAAAGATTGTCCACAGACCAGCTGATAATGTTACAGTCTATGAACCTAACAACCAATGACAGAACCAGCTGTAAGTTACCTTAGAGCTAACGTTAGCCTAATGGTAACGTATCTGGACACAGCTAAAATGCTTATCAATTTGCCCTTCACTGGCAACGTTAGCTAGTAGCAATTGAAAACACCTTTCAATTGCACAACAATTCCACCTTTCCCTGGCAGCCGAAGAGAGAAAGTTCTGGAGGAGCAAGTTAGCCGACGGACTTTTGGAGGAGAGCCGAGTGTAGCGTAGCTCACACACAACTAACCCGGAGATCGAGGAGGCGGAGCCGAGTGCAATGCTCTGATTGGACGGCAAAGATTCAAACTTTAATATTTGAATAAGGCGCCTTTCTGTCCAGGGTGTGTACTCAAATTTAAAATTCATATATTTATTACAACCCGTTTTCCAAACATTGACTTTACCTTAAAAGTATAATGGGGAAAAAATCTGAAAAATGTCAATAATAAAAACTATATTTCTATATAGTTTTTATACAGTTTACCACTGCTTATACATGTTATACATTGACAAAAACACATTTATTCAACATTTTTGTTGTGAAAAATTCTGTAATTACACAAGATTTTTGTAAATTAACAAACAAATCTCAATAAAATTACAGAACAAATACTTCTTTTACTGTTAATTGTCAGTAATTTTATCTCATTTTATAATCTTTTTACAGTATTAAACTTGTTTTTTAACAGTTTAATCTCTTAAATAACAAAGAAGTACTTGTGAAATTACGACAAATTTGCAAATGTATTTTAACAGTATTTTTATGTGAAAAAAAAACGTAATTTTCTTTTTAAAAAATGGAAATTTTATGGTTATTCACAGTTACTGTGTTTTCATGTTATTTTATATTTGACATGTAAAATCACAGTCTAATTTTGTAATTTTATTAATATTTTCATGTATTTTAAAAATACAGGAAAAGTCTGTAAAATATACAGTAAAAATTCTGTTAAATTACAGATTTTTTTTTTTTACAGTGTAGGCTACAAAAACTTTATGTATATGGTAATAGCAGACATGTCTTTGTGAATCTTTAATGTTTATTGAAACGGAATAATCACAATAGTGGCCGTAGAAGAGTGCAATTTAAATGGCTTAATCAGGCCCGACATTAAGCCTCTACATGATTAACAGTATAGTATTATTCCCAGTGTTTTTGTGTGTTTGGTATTTGTACAATCCTTTTTATACTTTGAAACAAGCCTGTTATTAACATGATTTATGGATAGGTTAGGCTGTATATAAAGGAATAAATGATCAGAAATTATCCTTATGATTTATGATTATTTTAGCTGCCCTGTGCGCCAGATTATAACCATTCAAGTCCATTTCACCTGCTGTGATACCTCTGCCAGAAAGTGATTACAGCATCTGCCTTCTTCTCAAGCGGCCGTGCGTGCTACCGCGGACAGCATTCACATTTGGCAGAGAATCACTTTCTGTCAGGAAACCTGTAGCCAAGTCAGGCAAACGAGCTGCAGCAGGAAAACGACTGGAAAGGCAAGTGTTTGTTTCAGTGCAGTTATCTTGTTTAACAAAAACAAAGAGCCACTGTTTTTGAATCACTTTAAAGTAGAAATGTTTTTCTTTTCACTCAGTTGTCTCAGTTGTCACACCCTGGACTGCAGTTGTTCTTGTATGACGCAGTAGCTACTGACCAACTTCCTCAAAGAAAGGGTCACTTCTCATGTTGAAAGATCTATCGTTAGTGTTATAATGTAATGTAACCAGAGGTGGACAAAGTACACAAATGCATTAGTAGAGTCAGAGTATGGATATTCAGAGTATAGATATATATCCTGGTCAAATATTCCTCCAATACAAGTGAAAGTTGTTTAGTCTGATTTTAGTAGTAGTACTGGAGTACTACATTTTAAAATACCTCAGTATTCAAAAGTACATTTTTCTATCAACACATTGTTGTATTGTTCCACATTGACTGAAACCTAATGACTGAAACAACCTACTGACTGACTGACTGACTGACTGACTGTTGAATAAAAGCTTGTAGAATATGATACAAAGACTTTAGACATGGACATAAAAACAACTGACTTCCTCAAAGAAAGGGTCACTTCTCATGTTGAAAGATTTCTACTGACCTGTAGAATAAACAGCTGGTAGAACATGATAAGTCTGTGAAAATGGCTATAAAAACACAACTCCAACAAAAGGAGACATTGTCATTTTTTTAGGCAGTGATGGAGTTTGGTCGTGGTGAAAAATGAAAGGTATTTTTCTTTATTTCTAAAATTTCAAACCTGGACTTAAGATAAGGCTGTGGTGCTTGGGTGAATCCTCTGGCTCATCTTTATCTGACGTAGCTCTGCTTTCAAGTAAACAGTACTTGTACTTGTACTTGTACTTGTACTTGTACTTGTACTTGAAATGTAGTGGAGTCAAAAGTACAATAATTGTCTTTCAGTGTAGTGGAACAAAAATCATAAGTTTCCAAAAAAATGTATATTCAAGTGAAATACATATTCTCAAGAAATATGATTAAGTACATGAACTCAAGTAAATGTACTTCATCACTGTCCACCCCTGAATGTAACATGTAGGCTAATTTGTCTGCAATGCCACATGTCTGTCTTTTTATCTCTTTTCATAGTTGTGAACAGTGAAAAGACAAGATGCAACCATTGCCAACAAACAGGACGAGCTTTACCCGTCCAAGGTCAGGCTGTAAAATGTTCTGACTGTCCTCAGCGTTATACCTTTCTTGTTCCTGGATTTCATACTGTAGACTGCCGTTTCTGTTTCAAGTGATATGATGCCATATGCTCTGCAGGGAGAAATCTACTCACACGTATGCTCCTGCCTCGGCTCCTGTTGGCACTCTGCCGGACCATGGCTACCAGAGTGACTATGGCTCTGACTCCGGCCTGAGGTAATAAGATAGTAGAAGTAAAATGATCCTTCAGGTTCAACCACTGAATTCTCTTTCAAGAAAACAGTTGGAACATAGTTTATTTTACATTGTCAAAGCTATTCTATTGTACTGTAGCAATAACTGATGACACATCAAAGGTTGATTATTCAAATGATTCAACTCGTCATACTGTATGTTTATTTATTCTAGAAATGTGACATGTTCATTTGTTTGTTCAACTTTCCCCATCCAAGGTCAGGCTGTAAAATGTTCTGACTGTCCTCAGCGTTATACTTTTCTTGTTTCTGGATTTCATACTGTAGACTGCAGTTTCTGTTTCAAGTGATATGATGCCATATGCTCTGCAGGGAGAAATCTACTCACACGTATGCTCCTGCCTCGGTTCCTGTTCGCACTCTGCCGGACTATTACTACCAGAGTGACTATAGCTCTGACTCCGGCATGAGGTAATAAGATAGTAGAAGTAAAATGATCCTTCAGGTTCAACCACTGAATTCTCTTTCAAGAAAATAGTTGGAACATAGTTTATTTTACATTGTCAAAGCTATTCTATTGTACTGTAGCAATAAGTGATGACACATCAAAGGTTGATTATTCAAATCATTCAACTCCATATACTCAGTATTTTCTTTGTGTTTTTTTTAAGTGATATTCGCTCTACATGTAGCTCCACTCAGACCATAACAGAGAGTGACAAGTCCCGGGATACACCTCCATTTTTTCAAGACAAACCCAGACGTGTAAGGTAAGTTGACAGCTAAGGAGGATTCATTATTTGTATGTTATCATACTGTATGTTTATTTATTCTAGAAATGTGACATGTTCATTTGTTTGTTCAAAGGCAGAACAATTGTAGTTTTGTAGTTAGTTGGTTACATTTCAGATCATTATATTATGACAGCTATTATTTTCTTTCATTTAATTGTCCTAATCTGAGTTTAGTGTTAAAAGTCAAATTCATTTACCAGTAAATATACATTAAACTAAGTGACAGACATTTGAGTTTTTTGAAGTTATCCAAAGAATCTGAATTTAAGAGAAAGCATGTGACCACAACAGCAGTAATCAGGTGACGGTTCCTTGTGTTAGTCAGTATCTGCTGCTGAAAACTCTTTCAAGGTCACTGGTTAAAAAATAAAATAAAAGTGAAACCAACTTCCTGACTTTAAGTATCATTTTCATAGATTTTTAACTTAAGACATCACCTGACAGTCCCATATGTCATCCTGAGAGATCCATTAGAGAGGATGTTATTTAAGGGAGACAGGATGCAAACAGTTGAACAGCTGAGCCGAACTCCTACATCATGGATGTTCAATGAGAACTTTGTGATTTGTAGTGTCAAAGGCAATCTATAGGCAATATTGTATTGTATGTAATTCAATGGGGCCGACTGTGTCTGGGCTATAATTGGATAAAGATTTCTGTAGATAGAAGGTGGTTTCCAAACACCTTCAACACCTTCCATTATAAAAACTTTGAAATTGTATTTTGTGACTAAATTCCAATTTTTTCTGTGTCATTTTTTTCTGATTAGATCGAGAAGCAAAGACACGGTAAGAGTTTCCTCTGCAGCCAAGTGTAGCAGTAAGAAGCATTATCTCAGATCTCAGCTTTTCTTTTATCTAACGACTTCAATATAACATACATTGTCTGCCATGTTCTAAAAATGTAATAGGATTGTTGAGAAATGCAAATCATGAAGTAAAACAGATTATATTTCTGTGGATTTGATGGTAAAAGAAGGTAAAAAGTGCTGTTTCTTTTCCTTTTGATATTTCAAATGATGGATTAGTTAGACTTAATATACACTGTTGGCCACTTCATATACTTTGCATCAATCACAAATTATACTTGTCAGTTTGTGTTGATCATGACATTCATCTTCATGTGTCCTCTCAGACTCTGCTTTCTAAAATAGAAAGCATTGTGGCAGATCTAATGAAATGTGAGGCTTCGCCAGTTGTCGTTGCAGTTTCCCTCGTTGCAATAGCAGCAGTTCTCTGTTTCGTCGGCAGTCTTTTTACCCGAGGTACTGCATTTTTCTGATCATTTCTCTAATGTATTACTGATAAACATACTTAAATATTTGCTAATCAGGGAAATCATTTTATTTTTCAGAGAGGGGGGCGACTCCAGAGGTGAAAATTGTGCTGCCGAGCTATTCAGGAGAAGGGAAGATCACAGCAGAAACGGATATGATGCTGAAGCAAGTTATTGAAGAACTAAAAAAGGAAGTGGAAAGAAGGGTTCGATCAGAAATTCAAGCAAAGAAAGATACAAGCGAAGCTACAGAAGTGGAAAGAAGGGTTCGATCAGAAATTCAAGCAAAGAAAGATACAAGCGAAGCTACAGAAGTGGAAAGAAGGGTTCGATCAGAAATTCAAGCAAAGAAAGATACAAGCGAAGCTACAGAAGTGGAAAGAAGGGTTCGATCAGAAATTCAAGCAAAGAAAGATACAAGCGAAGCTACAGAAGTGGAAAGAAGGGTTCGATCAGAAATTCAAGCAAAGAAAAATACAAGAAAAGCTACAAAAGGTTGTGTTGTGTCTATAGTCAGGTTATTTATGATATGGCCAATGATTCTTTTTCTTTTTCTTTCAGGTTGCAATTTTTTGATGTTTAATAGTTAGTTGAGGACATTCCACCATTTACAGACATATAGCCCTGTTATTACAGAGAGAGTAAGAGAGAAATCAGCAGTAAATGATCAGTATGGATAAGAGCCCTTCCTTTCTCAACATCCTTTTTCCTTTTTTTTTTAAACAAAATGTATTCAGTAGAATTTCCCATAACTATTTTAGAATCCTAAAAAGGGATGTATTTAAACCCATGTGTGCATTAATGTGTTGGGAGACAATCCAGTAAGTTATCTACATTTAAGTTATTAAGGTTCAATTTATTTGTTAAGTCCAAAAATGTGGAAACCCATTTTGACCATAACTTAGTAAATGTATTAATTTGTAGGCAAAATGAAAATCAAATTCTTTACATTGTGTATACTTCATTAACTATCTCTGTCCATTCCTCTATTGTGGGAGAGTCAGGAAGCAACCATTGCCAAGTAATAGTTTTTTTAACCGGTTGATGTAAGTACACCAAACAAGTATTCATTGAAGTGGGCTGAATGAAATTTCATGCATTTCTGTCTAGAAATGTCTTATTACTGGATGTTCCCAAATGATATGGCAGTGATTGGCTTCATGGCTCCCACATAGTCTCCAGCACTTGGGATCCTCTCCTGTTCAGTGTGCTTTCTGCTTTGGGCTAAAAAAAACAGACATTTTTTTAGACACTTTCATCTAAATTCTCTCCATGTGTGTGAAAGATAGATAGATAGATAGATCCTTTATTTATCTCCTCGGGGAAATTCATGTGTCCATTAGCTCATTGTTGTATAATAATGATATCTAGAAAATTCCAGGGAAATTTTGAGTGCCACGGGGGCTACTGCCGGGATAGGGTTAGGGTTAGGGTAAAAAATCTTCTCTGTGTCACTGTAGCGATGACATCACGCAGCCCTTGGCTGTCAGAGGTCAGGTCAGGAGCTGACGTTGCCATGGCAATGTGAAAATCTGCCCAGAATTTGGCTTCTACATGGCTTCAAACAATTGCAAATTATGAGAAAACCGTTACTTCTTTTCAAAAACCGAAAACACCGTGACAGACACTGAAACCAGAAGTTTCTTACAGTCTCTATTTTATTCAGATATTCCTAATAATATTCCTTCGGGCTTATTAATGTCACGGGTGCTCAGCTCCGAGGCACTCTACAGCTAGAATAGCTGAGAGGAGTGCCTCGGGGCAGAGCACACCATATTCTCCTTCGGGTTTATTATTCTTCCACCAAATTTTGGCGCGTAACTCGTCCCGCAGCTTTGAGAAAACCCCGGTAATATATACATCAAAACGTGCGTCTTGATCCTGAAAGAGGTGCTATGACTTTTGGTGTTAAAATTCCAATTTTTCCCAAAGTTATTCCCAAAATACTGGGAATAAATAATGCATTAGGAATGCATTGGAATTTTCTTTAGAAACCCACAAAATTTCACCTTTTTTCTACAAAATTTCACCTTTTTTCTGAGTCACCCAGCTCCCTCATACCTGCACGTAGAAATGTGATTCAAACTATAAAACGGAGGAAAACTTCTGCTCTCTCCAAAACACAGCAACTGTTTTTACATAACATGTAAACTTTTCAAACTATGAGCACTCAAAGGAGGAGTGGAAATCACTTTTTCTTCAAAGTTAGAGTGACAGCGTCAGTTGGCTAGAGTGCGTGAAGCAGTAAAAAATAACCTTTATTTTTATTTTTAACTCGAGCTCACGGCCAAACCGTAAAAAGGAGACAAATAATTCTTTCTGAAAATGTAGACATAGTTGTTGGGATTCATAAAATGTAACTTTGACAGGCAGGGTCTGCACAAAATTTAAACGGGGGTGCCGAGTCCGGCAGCAATACCTGTCTCACTCTCATTGACACCTAATGTAATCGTCTTTTTTTTTCAAAAGAATCTCACTCTGTCTTCGCACTGAGCTTACTCACTCATTTTAAGGAATATCTGAATAAAATAGAGACTGTAAGAAACTTCTGGCTTCAGTGTCTGTCACGGTGTTTTCGGTTTTTGAAAAGAAGTAACGGTTTTCTCATAATTTGCAATTGTTTTAAGCCATGTAGAAGCCAAATTCTGGGCAGATTTTCACATTGCCATGGCAACGGCAGCTCCTGACCTGTGTGCGTGTGTGCGTGCCTAGCAACCAGATAACCAACTCTCCAAGCTCCGCTAGCTTTACATTAGCCGCATGTTAGGTCTTAAATTACATTTAGTTAGGTCTTAAATATGTAAGTCCATTTACTGCTTCCTTTGTTGCTTTTCTTTTTGTTTTGTTAAATGAGTGAATGAAGTTGTGACGGTCTCCGCTGAGACAGAGGAGAGGAGAAGCTACTAGCCCTCTCTCGCTGTCACTTCTAGTCGCGTTGCTCTCCTCCCCAGTAATGTTAAATTTAGCACCGAAAAAAACATAATAGTGGTAATTTAAATAGCGGTTCATGGGATTTATTAACCCTCAGGGGTCCCTCTGTCCTTTTTTGGACATTTTCTTCACTTTTCTTTTTTGATTAGCTGATCATTTTGGCTGTGTTACAGCTGAAGGTATGGATTTCTGCAAGAAAGTGTCTTTTTTGACATATTTTTAAAATCTAATGTCAGTTACTGTTACAGGTCTATTATACACTGGTAACACATTTTGTACCCTCTGGGGTTCCTCGCGTCCAAAAAAGGACACACAAAGAAAATGCTATAAAATCATCATATATCAATATTTTTTTCTGCTTTTTTTTGCATATATCTCTTAAACCACTTCAGTTCTGCTCAAACCTACCAAATGTTTATTAGTTTTCAGGATTTTAACCCTTTAAATGCCAGTTTGAAGACATGTTGCCTCTTGTTTTATTAAAAAAACAACACAGAATATGAGATATTTCCCACATAATACATGATGGAGGGATGTGACATTGTTTTATATCAGAGTCTTTTATATCAAGACATTTCTCAAAACCAGAATATGATCAGGGTGACTTTTGAACACTGGAAATAAATCATGTACTCATCCCGGCAGTAGCCCCCGTGGCACTCAAAATTTCCCTGGAATTTTCTAGTTAGTCCACTTCCTTTGGCTGAGGTGTTGTATAGCCTGATGGCAGTGGGAACAAAGGATCTCCTGAACCTCTCTGTTCTGCCGTGCAGTGAGATGAGACATTTGCTGCAGCTTTAGCTGCTGCTTCTCTGTCCTGCCAGAATGTTGTGGAGAGGATGGGTGGTATTGTCCAAGATGGCCTCCATCTTACATTGCATGCATCTCTCAACAACAGTCCTGAGTGAGTCCAGACTCCTGCCAAGCACAGACCCAGAGTACACTGGCCACCACTGACTGATTAACCATGTGCAGCATTTCACTGCAGACGTCAAAGGACCTGAGCCTCCTGAGGAAAAAGTTTTGGGCTTTTTTCCTTGCCAAATGAACCTACAACTAATTTTGTTGGGTTAATTGTTTTTGTGGTTCTTGGTTCTTGGTTCTCTTATGGTTCCTATATCCTTGGCTTTGCACAAAACAGATAATTTTCTCTCACTATAGTGCCCGACTGGTTCTATTTTGGGTATATATCGGATCCAGAGGTGATATCGTGTGTGTGTTGGTGATGATGCTTAAACCAAGTGTTTAATGTTCAGTGTTGATCATTTGCATTTGTATCAAAAGGAGGGAATTGCAGTGGAAAGTTTTAGTGTGATTGTTCTGTGTGACCAGTGGGCCCCAGCTCACGTTGGGAACCACTGACCTACATTAAATATACATTTAAAACAGGAATAACAGGTGGATTATTTATTTGATAAAAATTTTAACTTTCCACTGACACCATGTTTATGTGGTGTCATGACCTGGCTCAAAGGAAGGACAAAATGTGGAGACCACACATGACTCTTTAAAGTAATGTGACAGCCCTCTCCACCTGTGTACCTGTTGCTTCCTGTGTGTGGCTGCTTTCTTTACAGGTACTCGAGGTGGGTGTGGCAAAGGGTTGTCAGTACCTGGGCTCATCAGCAGACCTGGCACACCTGGGCCCTGTGTTCTATAGCCATGTTGGAGATCAGTTCTGGTTCTCTCTCCTCCTTGAGGCTCCTGTTTGGTTTGGTTGGCATTTGGTTTGTGTTGTTTCTGTTGCTGCACCATACATTGCATTCACACACATCTTCACTCATGCACTCACTGACACTGGTTATCTTACAGATTACACAAGTTTAGGTTCTTCTTCTAGATTTATTGTCTGTTTTTTTTTTTTTTTTAAATAAAACATTTGTTAATTGCCTTGTCTGTGTGCATCTCCCTCTTTTGTCATGGCCATGTGACCCGGTTTGTGACAGTAAAATTACATTTAAGAAAACAAAATGAAGTATGCAGTCAGTTCATCAGTTATGTGTATAGTGTGAATGAGTGAACATGTATGAGTGAAGTGAACCAAACCAAGTAACCTATGGGAAGAGAAGGACTGACTGCTCAGGCACCTATGTTTATAGGTGAGCACTCACCAGGTGTCAGCCATCACTCCCAATGAGCCAATCCCCAGATCCCAACAACCAGGTAATTGGTCTAGAGGCCTAGAGGCCGTCACAGTGGTGATACCTTGGCTGCGATCAAAAGGTCAAAATAATTTCTCTAACCACTTCTGCTCGACCTCCAGGGAAAATGTCATGAAGTCAAGTAAAGATGTGAAGGACAGTTCATGAGGACTTAGGAAAACAATCTGACTGCACTTACACTAGGATTTTTTAAAAACTAATTCCATTTGTAACACATGGATGATAAATCCTCCTTTACTAACCACTGACACACAACAAACAGGATTGACATGTTATAAGAAAATATGAAAAATATACAAATAGAGAAAGTTGAACCATTAGAATAATTAAATAAAAATAAGGATCTGAGCAAGAGGCCAGAATAAATTATATTCATGCATGAGTTTATAGTTTTCTGTCATTTCTATACTATTAAGACAAGAAAATTCATTTTTAGGTGTTTACACAATGGGAGGAGATTTAGTGAAACAACATTTATATATAGACTTAAGTATTTTGTTATCATGATGATATTGTTAACTATAAATTAAATCTGCTTGTTCTTCATGACGACTCCTGACTGAATTTAAAGAGAATAAATCTATATTTATGGATTTGGGTTTCAGTGGATCAGACAAGGATTTCCATCAGTTCTGGATCGAGTCACAAACATAAAACAGCTGCTCTGTTGTTTCTACATTTATGTGGGTCTGCCAAGGTGAAACTACAATGGTGTGTCACTTTAAATGTTGCCACAGCAAGGAATTGTGGGACAGCATTTCTCCTTTCCTTTCCTTTCCTAAAGGAAGGTCCAGTGTTTCCTCTGCTAAAGGAGATAAGATAGGAAGCACTGAAGCTCCTTTCCTCCTCATGTAGAGAAGTGGAGCAGCTGTGATCATGGTGCTGCTCAGAGACTTCAGCTCATTTCATCAGTTTCAACCTTCATAAGAACAAAAAGACTTTTCAACCACAGCCCATGTTTAAGGAAAGCACTGACTGTAGCTTCCTGAGAGGTACTGGGCTGCTGCTTGCAGGTCACATGACAGACAGCAGCAACAGCTGTGCAGCTAAACATAGCTTTAATGAGAACAAACTGGTGGAATCCAGAATGTTAATCTGACATTTTTTAGCAAGGTGAGCTCTGACAGCAGCTTCAGCACATACACTAGCCACGATGTGTTTTCTTATTTTTCTTTTAAGGCATGCAGCAGCACTGTAGAAAATGAGCTAATGCTAATTGATTGTAATGAGTTAACAGCACAGATTACCAGCACAACATTTGAATGGCTTGAGAGCAGCTTTAAATAAAAACTTTATTTCTAACAGAAATTACAAATACAAAATCTCAGCGTCAAACTGATCTGTGATCTGGTTCTGTTCCAGTTCTCCATTCTTCAAACGTCAGGTTTCACCAGCCTCTGAATTCAATCCACATGACAGGATAATAATGAACGTAAGAAAAAAAACTTTAGATGGAAAATAGTTCAAACACATACTTTAATATTATCACTTTGTAACATGATCCTGCTCTTCATTTTGTGATTGTTGTTACAAAAGAAATAAAAGTTGTTGCCATGGTAACTTTCTAGAGTTGTAAACTCCTGTCTGTAGTATTATAAGCCTGTGGGCTGTGTTTCAGTGTCTGATAAATCTCCAAACTCAGGGATGTTTCTCAAACTGGATTTACAACACCCCCCCCCCCCCCCCCCCCCCCCCCAACCCCCACCAACAAAGCCCCCTGTTGCTTAGCCATGTGCTGTATGAGTGACCACCTCTCACATAGGGCTTCTTTTGTAAAACTCAGTATATTTGGGAAGTATTTCTATTTTAAAGTTGTCCACTGGCTGCACGTTGGAATGAGCAGAGTGGTGATGTACGTTTTTCAGAGAGGACAGCTGGAGGTGAACATTTAGCTTCAGAGGCTCCACCCTCTAACTGCCTTCATCACCATCATCCAGCAGGAACTCACTGATCTCCTCTCTCATCTGAGACCTGCACAACACAACACAACACAACACATCTCAGATCATTACATCTCATTGTGAAGCATTTGAGTTTCTGCTCATGTTTTTTTTGGCTGGACCGCAACAGCAGGTCTAAAGACTGGGACTGATCAAGTTACACCATTGGTCGCTCAGCCAGGGATTGGAGTTTCCTCATTGGTCGTTATTATTTCGAAATGAATTGATGTGAACAAGCAGGGTTGCCAACTTTGTGCCTTTGTCGCTAGATGAACTGACTTTTCAGTGACTTGTTCTCAAAAAATCCCCTAGTGACAAATCTAGGGACTTTTTGGACAAACCTTGATTACTGTCCATAGAAGAAAGTCATGTCTGAGACGCAAAATAAGAAAGATAATTCTGATGCTTCTACCTTTCTCTCTAAGTGATGATCTAGCATGTAAATATAACTGGAATCACAGCTCAGTCTGTCTTTAACTGACATGTATGGCTAAGACGTGGTTAAAGAATCAGGATTTTAGCAGCAGCCTGAAGTGACTGCTGTTTAACATGTAGTCTTAATGGACCACGTTTCAGTCACTGTTTCAAACGTGTTCCATTGTCATGACAACAGAAACAAACAAAAAAAAAGGTCAATGAGAACAGCTTTACTGTGAATTCGGCTGTATTAAAATACTGTATGTGAGCATAGAAGCAAACAGATAAAGAGCTGAAACCAGCTGACACTAGGTAGAATGCTTATATGACGTGATGTACAGATAGAGCTGGGTCTTGTTAAAAATCTTCGAAATCAGCATTGATACAGATGCCTTGACTCTGATACCAAATGAAACTTTTATCAATATCAATTTGATCAAATCTAATTACAATAGTACAATACAATACTCTGATTATTAAAGTGCTGTGATGGTGGAGGAACAGAAAACAATAAGAAAAAAATAATGTTATAATGTTGATATGATTGGTTCGTTTGGCCCACAGTATCTTGGTATTCATACTGGGCTGACATGAAAATGACATTAAAAGAGCAGAAAAGCACTATCTATGCTTCGTGTGAACGGGATATAATTACATGTACATACGCTCTAGAATGAAAAGTGGTCTTTTAAATGAACCAAATGTCCTCCTCACCTCCTCTGCCTCCTCTGAGCCTCTGACAGGATGTACTGAGGGAGACGCTCCAGTGACGACTAGAAGAAAACACAAAGGAACTGAGAGAGGCCTGTATGTATGAAAACATTCTGTATGAGACCAAACTAGTTGTCTCCAGTTCAACAATCATGATGAACAAACACAATGTTTAGATTGCAGTTGGAAATCATGACACACATTCAGGATGCTCCTGTGCACCTGTGCAGGTGTTTCCACTCACCATGTCTTTGATGGTCAGCTGACAGCTGTAACACAACAGGCTCTTCAGATCGGTTCTCTCGGGTTCCCTGGAACAGAACAACAGCACAGAGTCTGAAGATAACGACATTGGTCTGACATGAGGCAGATGGGAGGATTTATCTGGTCAATAAACCAGGGCAAGTTAGCTTGTTATTGCTACAACACTGTGTTTGCAGTAACACCCCAAAGATACAATAATGTCTTAATTTAAACTCAAAAATCACTGAGGGTAAAACCTTCATTTACAGTGATGATGATAAGAGGAGACAAACTCAACAGGATTATGACCCTACAAAACAAATGACATTCTCATCAGACTTGGCTGTACTTTGTGCTAATTAGCAAATGTGCTAGCTATTGCTGTAGATAACAATAATAATAATAATAATGATGAACCTTATTTGTATAGCACCTTTCATACAAGAAATGTAGCACAAAGGGATTTATGGATTTCAGCCATTATGCTGCCCACTGCTGGAACCAGCTCCCACTGGAGATCAAATCTGCCCAAACCATAACTGGCTTTAGAAAGAAGCTAAAAACTGCCTCCTCTCCTCTGCCTTCACTGAATCTTTTAATCTTGCACTTTGATGACTATTTTATAATCTGTGCTTTAATACTGTTTTAATGCAGTTTTCTTTTATGCTTTTTACATCTAGTTTTCTGCTTCTGTTATTTCTCTTAAGATGCTTCTTTTATTTCTGTGAAGCACACTGGATGACCTCTGTGTATGATAATGTGCTATACAAACAAACTTGCCAAAAAACATTGATGTAAAATGAAAAACATTAACGACATTAATGTCAAATGAGATGGAATAATAATAAAATGATAACATAGAAATAACAATCAACTGTCTTGGTCTGAATCAGTTGTGTTCAAGGTTCAGGAACAGCAACTTTCCACAAGGCCTTCACAGAAAAAATAAAGCCCGGCGGTTCTGATAATCAGTGACGTCTGCAGTCTCACTTCATAAATGAGGTAATTATTTGACACAGGTCAGCTGAGAGCCTGAGTCCTGTTTAGAGCCACAAGTTTAGGATTAGCTTGTTTACAACATTTTTCCTGTTACGCCTCCTGTGTGAGTCCCTCATTACTACAGATTAATCACTGCCCAAATTAAGAGACATAAATCCCTGAACACTCACTTGGCAGAAGAACAGCAGCCTCCACCACCACCTCTCTCTGTTCTCCCACAATCCTCTCCTCCAGAGGAACAGCACTGTCCAGAGGGAGCAGTTGATTCTTGCTCCACTGGAGCTTTAATGGAAACAGAGGAAACAGATTGTACTAACAGCTGAGTGTAGAAACGTCCCCCTGCAGGATTCAGAAGACCACATCATGTGAGCCCAGCTGCAGAGGGTTTCTACCCAGTGCGGAATACCAACGTTATAGCTGTGCCACTATTAACTATATGATGCTAATGCTAATAATCTGTATTCTGTACTCTACTGAACGTTCTGGCTCCAGAAACACAGAAGGCATGACTGGAGGTGAAAGGTGCACTGTACCTGGGTTTTGTCTCGGGTTCTCAGTCCCTGTGGCTCCTGAAGGTTTATTCTGGGAGAGCTGCTCTGAGGTCAGTGTGGCCTGAAAGGCAGAAGCGTTCTCTGAAAGAAGAGAGGGAGACAAAGGAAGAGGGGAGGAAAGACGGAGGAAAAATTCATGAAGGACTTCGTGGGGTTAATGCTTCTATCTGCTCCAGCCAACCAGGTGCTCAGTGCTCAGTGAGGGCGTCTTCAGCTTGTTATGAATATCACTGTTTCAATGGAGACGTGTGCAGTGGTTTGTATTAGTTTTATTTTTCTGTATTGAGAATCTGTGACAGTCCTCTCTCTGCACACCAGTGATCCACATCTGTCTACACCTCAGTCTTTGGTCCGCATCAGTCCAAGGCTCACGCATGTTTTATATATGTTCAGTGACCAGTGAGGTCATGACCTTTTGGAAAGCTTTGCAAAGTGAAAATCTTGCTGCGAGGTTGAGCGAGTGCTCTATAGAGGTCCGATACTAATTCATTACCGTCTGTGATAACATGGCATATGGGAAAGTGATCTTATGTCTACTGTGCATGAGTGGAGGCTGTCCACATGAAGAGGGCTGACAGCTCATTCTCATGACACTGAAACAGATTATCTGAAGGTTGAACAAAAGTTACAGACGTGTGTACTTGTACTACAGCGATCATAACAGAGGAAAAACCAACCATTTGATTTTGAAGGCATATAGTTGGTCCATTAGACAACATTTATGTGGAACTTGGCATTTCAGTGGAATCTGTGGTCCAGTTTTATTCACATCAGCTGTGAAAAGTGAGCTAACTATCTCTATCACAGTTTGGCTTGACAGTCTGTCTACTGCAGAAACACACGCATTTGCAGCTAAAGTGTGAACAGTGAAATAGGGCTGACATCTGAACACAGGAGTGAACACTACATACCACACATTGCAAGTTTTGGAACTCCCAGGTAATGCTTTTAGCTTTTCTTTTAGATCAACGGTATTTTGTGTATTTTAATGTTTCATTTATGTGATGGTTTTATTATTAGTGTTAAAAGGCCTCCTGCCTGTCCTGACCCATGAGCTCACCAAGTGCAGCTCTTAACAATGCTTATTGGAATAAAGTTACCACAACTAGTTGTTACAGCAGTCATTGAGAGAGCAGCTGTTCCACACAACACTCACCAACAGCAGTGTCCAGCGCGCACATACAGAGCAGACACCTGTCAGCCTGGTCAGCTGTGGAGGAGTTCCTACACGCTGTCTGCAGCTTCTCGCTGGTCCTGCAGGACACACAGCAGGTTTTGTGATGAGCGTATGGTTCCAAATGCTTCCCCAGCTGGTTACTTACTAATGGTTGGACAAAGCAGGCAGTGGTTCATCTACCGTTTCCAAAATGCCCAGTTTCCATTATCAAGCGATCATGAAAGTGTCAAACCTTACACTGAGTACTTCCTGTAGAATACACGCCTGTGCAGATGATGTGTGTGGTTTCTCACTGACCTGTAGATGGTGCTGACAGTGGAGGGGAAGTCGGCCTGCAGTTTGGTGACAAAGCTCTCTGTCAGACGCTGGATGCTGGCTTTGTCTGTTGTCTGTGGGACACACACACAAACATGTCTGACACACATGTTGACAAGTTTATTGACTCACAGTAAACCTGTACATTTTATGTTGGTGTGAATGGACCGATGCAGTAACAGGGGCGTATATACAGTGGTTTCAGAAAGTAACTGGATCAGACCAGCCGGGACGCCTGGTAACATGTCGACTTTACCACCCTTGAACACTCAGTAGTCATGGCTGCCATGATGACACACACACACACAGACTCACAAGGTCACAGCTGTAAAAATCAAAAAGCGAAATCTCCCATTCCCAAAAGTATTCAGACCCTTTGCTCCAAACTGTGCTCAGGTGATTCCTGTTTGCTGTAGTTTTTCCATAACTAATACATCCCACTCACCAACATACAACACTGGTGTCTCGGGATTGGAGGGGGTTCAGTGATCGTACAGAAAGCTTATGGCTCCAACACATTAATTGGCATTACAAGTTCTCACTGAGATACTGCTTCTTCTTTTTTTTTTTTAAAGTTATGTTCTGGCCATTTTTGGCTTTATTATGACAGGGACAGTGAGAGAGAGACAGGAAACTCAGGGAAGAGAGAGAGGGGACGACATGCAGCAAAGGGCCTCAGTCGCACTGGAACCCAGGCTGCTGCGGTGAGGTAAATGGTATGTGCTCTAGCAGGTGAACCACAGCGCTGCGCCAGGCAATGTGTTCTGTTTGTTTTCTGTCTGGTACTGTTACTGTCACATGTACTGCCAGCTGATCTTACCTTAGTGTCCCCGCCTGGTATGAAAACAGAGGGAACGCTGAACATGTGGTTGTAGTACGCAATTTCTTTGGCTGAGTAGTCCCTCATTGGTCTCACTAATATGATGTCACCATACCTGGAGTCAGCGAAACCCTGTTGAAACACACACACACACACACACTGCAGTAAATGCAATTGTTGATCCTCTCCGATTGTCTGTCATCTATGCACGCACGCACGCACGCATGCACACACGCACACACACACACACTGCAGTAAATGCAATTGTTGATCCTCTCCAATTGTCTGTCATCTATGCACGCACGCACGCACGCACGCACACACGCACACACACACACACACACACACACACACCGTGTCCTGAGCCAGCTGTGCTCCTCTGCCCAGTGAGATACTGGTGAGCAGTTTCACAGCCACTCTGGTGCAGTTGTCTCCCAGCATCAGTTTGCTGTATCCCTCAGTGCGAGCTGTGTGCACCAGCAGATGGTGCCTGTGAAGAGAACACACAGTGGGGTCAGAGTGGACTGAGAGAGAGCAAATCTTAAAATACTCTGCTCTAGTTTCTCAACATGAGTCTGATCAGAATAATTCTGACAGGTGAGGAGAATAGCAGATATAAATACTAAATTTTCTCTGCACCTCTACCACCATTCTCTCTTGGCCTCTTTTGTATCCGACCATGTGGTATGATTGCAGGAGAGAAGAAAATAATGCTCCCATGAAAAACTACAATCACCTCCTGGTGGTTGTCTTCCTCCTCCACTCAGACTAGTTTCAGGTTACATCCCTGTTTATCCAGAGTCATAAGATATGAACCATTTGTGTGAAATCTTTGTCATAATGCTGTGTGAAGAAATTCCCTCAAGGCGTTAACTGAGACATCGTGTTCACAAGGCCAAAATCATGTTTTGTGAGGTTACCACAACCTTTACCTTTGACCTTTGAACACCAAAATCTAATCACTTCATCCTTGAGTCCTGGTGAAGGTTTGTGCCAAATTTGAAAAAGCTCTGTCAAGACGTTACTTTGATATCGTGTGCACGGGAATGGGATGGGCGGACAACATGAACACAATATGCCTCTGGCTCTGACTGTCATTCACACACCACTTGGATAATGGTCACTAGTGCTGCTAAAAGTACAGTAAGTCCAAAGTGTTTCCTCTTTCATTATACATGACAAAACAATGGAGGACAGAGTGCTGTGTTATCCTAGATCAACATCTCTGGTTAAACTTGAAACTAAATACAGAAGCAGCATCAAGACGTCCTGTAAGATTAATGATCTCCTTAGGATCTGAGTCAGGAGCTCCCTCTGTCTGACCTCAGTGTGTTCAGCAGGTCCTGTCTGGCCGTCAGTGTCTGAGCTGAGCCGATCAGCTGCTGCAGGAGCTGTGTGTGGGACTCCTGAACCTCCGGCACCGACGTTTGCTCATGGTCCTGTGCAGTCGAACAGCTGCTGCTGTCGCTCTGAATGAAGTGATCCACCGCTGCTTTGTAGGCGCTGGCCGGCTGCTCTGAGGCAGCTGGAGCCGTCACCACAACTGAACTGGGAAGATCCAGAACCTGAGAGGACGTCGGAGGAGACATTAAAGAAACAGTTGGATCTGAGGAAAGAAAAATCTCTTTCTTTGTGCTGATGTCTTCTTTTTGTTATTGTGACAGCATCAGATTGTCCATGTGACTTTTATGTATTTAGGTCACAAAGTTCATGTCACAGGAAAAGTAATAAAGCTTTTCCTGAATTTCATATTTTACCTTAAAGACCTTAAAAATAGGAATTGTAAAAAGAATTTATAAATGAACAATTAATCAATCAATAAATTGTTAAAATTGAATTCTTTAATTTCCATTTCCTTTTTCTAGCTGCTTGTCTTTTTCCTGTTAGCTAATCCATTAGCTTAGTCATTTAGCTTCTCCTGTTAGCCTTTCTGTGACTCTCTGGGCTTCAGTGGTGTAAAACCCACTGGTTAGCTCTCCAACCAATCAGAGAGCTGGTTACATCCCATGGCCAACTGGGATTGTTTAGCCTGGTTTTACCAGCACTGAAGCCCAGAGAGGAATAATAATTCATTTATAAATTCTTGAAAAGGGAATCTAGTTATTTATTCCCATTATTAAACTAACTTTTCAAGTAGTTTTTCAAATTCTATTATTTATTCATGAATTAACAAATGTATTTCTAAATAGTTTATTTAACGAGTTTTGTGCTGTTTTTGTAAATCAATTTTACATCTTATCAAGTATTTATTGATGCATTAATCTTTCATTTATAAATTCATGTTACACTTCTTATTTTAAAGCCTATTAAAATATGAAATTTATAAAAATGCTTTATTACTTTTCCTGTGACATCCCTGCTCCTCCATGAGGAAGGGGCTTTGAACTGTGAATTGGCTGAGCAGTCACCTGTTCCAGAGGCACCATGTGGAAGGGGAAACCAGTAGCTTTGAACACAGCCTGCAGCTCAGCCACCGTCCTCTGTCTTTCCTCCACAGACTGACCTACAGCTCCACCCTCTGGGAACAGCAACACACACAGTCGGTGTAAAATGTTAAGGCCACAATTGATTCAGAGAGGACCAAAGTTATGAAACTGATAACACTCAGTTAAAGAGCAATACTCTTCATTTAATTTACCATCGATGTAAACGATGCCAGGTAAGAATCTCAACTTCTTATGAGCATTCTGACTCAGACCCTGAGAGGAAGACAAAGGTTTTCAGTTTAATGAATGACAATAACCCTAACTCTATCTACAGGGTTATTAGAATCTAAATCAATGAGTAATAAACACCAGAATTTTAAGCTGCATTTCATCATCTATTAGATCATTTAATCATCATTTAGTGTTCAGGAAACAGCATGGGTTTCAGTTGTTTGGTCCATTAGTGAAAATCATCCATGGAATGGACCAATCAATGGAAGCCTTTCGGGGTTTTGGAGTGTGAGAAGAAAGGTCATGGGGTCATTATGTCAAAAAGGATTTATCTTCTGGGGACCAAATACATCAGCAAAATGTCTCCTCAGAATAACACATGGCCAAAGGTTTGCGGAAGAGCGAGCATTCCAGCCCTGTGTGACAGCTGAAGATGAGGTTGTGAGCCCATGGTCATCGATGTGCTGCTCCAACAGCCTCCACTCCTCTGGTTTCAGTCGCCCCAGCCGATGTTGAGGGATTTGTTCCCATTCAGAGCATCAGACGCTCGTGATGAGGCCTGACTCACAGGTGCTGGATGGGTTGAGGTCAGGGATCTGAGAGGGCCAGTCAAGTTCCTCCAAACCAAAACACAATTAAAGCTACTCTCTCAAATGTCATTGTGTGCTGGGGAAATAAGATTTTCTTAATTGGAACTGAAGAACCCAAACCAGGAAATGGGTTTCAACAAACTTTGCATGGGGTACAAATTTGTGGGCATCAGGTGAGACGCGTTATGTTAAATCTAGAAATGGAAAATGAGACTTCTTGTGTACGAGATTGGAGAAATGGTTAGAGGTAACTGAAAAGAGTAGGACTCATGCTCTGGTAACCAAGCGTATGGATAATAAAATAGATTTACCAAAGAGTGAGCCACAAGGAGAAAGTCTGTCCTGATTGAATCACTACAAAAATATACGGTAATCTGTCTCTTTGCTCTGAAGCCAAGAGTTTGACCCGCACACCAACAGGCTGACCTCGGCATTCTTAAAGCAAACAACACAAAACAGCTTCACATTTGTGCTGTTAGTCAAGTGGTCTGCTCTCACTCAGCTTTGGCATCATGTGAGCGTTGGCATCATTCAACAAGAAGCCTGAGCAGTGAATGTACGCAGCACCAGACCATAACGTCTACACAGCCACACAGATTATTGGGGTTTCTATGTTCTTCTCACCAAAACAGAACAATCTATCAAAAACACTGGGATTATTTCTTTGATAGTAAGACAAACAGTAAACCTCTTGGACTTGACTGAGCATTGAAGAGGACGAAGGACCACCAGATACAGCCAGCAGCACCTGCAAGCAGAGAGGATGCTCACAGTTACAGAGCTGCTGCAAATATACACATCACACCTCTTCAGTTCTGTGTGTGTAACTCAGAAAATGAACTGCAGTAAAGTGAACTTCATCTCGTTGTGTCAGGAGAGAACTGTTTACCTTCTCTCCAGGGAAGATGATCCTGTTTTTTCCCAGCATGGCTCTGAACTTGTGGATGAAGTATTCCTTGAAACAGCCCCTGACACAGACGGAGGAATGATGGGAGCAAAGTCAGCGAAACACCTCTCAAAGCATGTAAAATGATCTCCTCCAGCCACACACCCCGGCTCTGACAACACAGCCAGAGACGACAAAACGATCCTCCAACACACTGTGAACACTGTTGTTACTACATCAGATATAGAGCAGGTTGAATACCTGCACAAGCCAAGACTAAAAGATACATTTAGACTGTAAATTCTCGAATAGTGCCGTTATTTACATCAACGGCGGAGAAACAGGCTTTTATTTCTAATTATATTTCCTGTCTGTTTTCTGATCTGCTCCTGTTTAGAATTACAGTTGTTTCTCCTCCCTTACACTAATACTGTTATTTCCAGTTACCTCCACTTTTTAAGCCACTGTTAGTGCAACTTACACCTTTCTGCACAGATGTTTCTTCACACTGAAAGCCTTCCAGCTGTTCAACGGGCATACTTTTTTCTCTTTGCCAGTGGGCCTTCATGGTGAAACATTTGCAGGAATAGTTGAGCTTAATTAGCAGACACTCAGCAGCTGATAAACATGTAAACTAGGGCTGCACAATTAGTTGAGATATAATCGAAATCGCAACATGGCCAAGTGCAATATCCAAATCACAGGAGCTGCTATTGTTGTGATGAAGGTCAAATGTGTCACATTGTTGTACATTGTTAGCACCGATAGCGCTGTGGTGCTACAGAGACGCCATGGACTACAAATCATATTCTCCAGACGTAAAGGAACATGTTTGTTTAGTACAAGACCAACAAAAATCACATCGTCATCATTTAAAATTTTTTCAGTGAAAATTAAATGCAACAATGACCATTCCAACTGAAATCACAATATCTGCCAAAATAATCCCAATATGATTTTTTTGCACATCATGCAGCCCTATTGTAACCGTACAGGCAACTGGTAATAATTAGTGAATGAGAACAATAGTAGTTTTAAAAAGAGAAACTGTTTTCAGCAGAGTGGTGAGTGTGACATGTTGTTGTACTGATGGAATTGGTGCTGTGTAAAATGGACATCATGCTGAATCCCTCCAGCTTGAGATAATGGTTTAAATTACCAGGCTTTTATTTGAGAACCAACAGACAGGCAGAGCGCATGTGAAGCAGGATTTCAAATAAAATGACAAAACTACATGTGTTCGACAAAGAGTGATCAACCGTCTTTTATAAATAGAATTTATTTGTACAGCCAAACCATATCTTTAATCATTATGCTTTTCTTTACCTACAGATCCTGAATATGACGCTTTAGTAAGACAACATCTTTTTTTTTTTTGCATCATTTTTCACCAGGATTGTCTCAACATACTGCAAACAAATCCTAATGCCATCAGGACAATTAGAAAGGTGCATCAAAGGTAATCTACACAAATCTTGAAACTCAATTTTGGGCTTGTTTATGGTCAGTTCAAACATCAGATTTACTCTCTGTCTGTGGAATAACAGTTGTACTGCAGATGGCAGTAAACAGTGCTGAGTGCTGCATGTCTTACCTGCAGTATGTGTCTCCTGCTCTGATGACCACAGCTGCACTTGCCTCTTTGCATTTGACACATTTCTTGGAAACACTGATGAATGGAGGAAGAACAGATGTGTTAAAAACCCATGCATTCAAATTTTTGTGCTGACATTTACACTGTGCAGGTTCAGTAAGAGATAGAAAGCCACAGTGGCTCCACAACAAGTGATGGAGAGGAAACATTTCATCTGATGGTTTAAAATGCATTTGCATTTAATTTTACAGATCTTTCTTTTTAGTCAGAGGCATATTGTCTTTGTTCTTGATTACCACTACCATGCAGAGAAAAACCAGTACCACTTTCAACTCTCCCAGCTGACATAGACAGACAGACAGACAGACAGACAGACAGATAGATAGATAGATAGATAGATAGATAGATAGATAGATAGATAGATAGATAGATAGATAGATAGATACTTTATTTATCCCCTAGGGGAAATTCATCTAATATATATATAATATATGCATATAACATGCAGTAGTGAGAGACAAAGTTGGTGCCCCTAGGTATCTGGGTTTGTGGGGCAGTTGCCCACTTTGACTGCTGGGTGATCCAGCAGTCATGACTGACTCCACAGATCCAGGGGGAACTCTTACCCCCTCCCACACACTGCTGATAACACATGTGGAGGGGAGATAGCCTATAGAATGAACAGCTGATCAGACCCGGCTCGGTGCGTGCTGTCGCGACATGACGACTTACCTGGGCACCTCCGCGCGCTCCAGTCCATCATGGTAGTCTTCATCCACTTGGCACATTGTGAAGACCGCGGCCGAGCTGAGACCGTGGCCCGCTGTTTGTAGTTTACCAGAAAGCGACTGTTATAAAAGTGTTAGTCAGTTATTTCACGTTGTTCACTTTTAGCCACGAACACTCACGTCACATGTAGGAGCGTGGCTCTGTTTGATGACGTAGAGGAGCTTTTTCCTCTTGGCGACGGAAAAATACCGTAGTGATGCTTTACCACCACCAAGTGGTCGGATCGAAAACCATCTTACTCTTTATTTTATTTTACACAAATGGCCTAAAAAGACAGCACACATAGGCTACAACAATTCAAAATAATAATTGGACACTATACTGATTCATTACATGGACTAAAGAACAGTAAAGCAATAAAAACTGAAGAAACCTGTAAAGTCTTAAATATTTTCCTTTAATATCTTTGTTTTGTTCCACGGTACCCCTATGTATATAGCTTGGTTTAGTCTTTTTGAAATATTATTTTAATAATTTTTTTCATACTACTTTTGGGTCATCATCCTTATTTATATGTTGCATTTAATTCCTTTTATTGTATTTATTTTATTTGTATGTAATCAATAATCGATTGATCAGAGCTGCTGTTCAGATCAGTGCTTTAGACTAAATATTACTCCTCACAGTTATCAATACCGTGACTGTGGCTTCACCTTTTCCTCTTTGACCTTTGACCTAGTCTCTCTCTGGGCAGCAGTTCGGTTCAGGCTGTCTTCAAAGTTGAAAGTCATTTCTTCATATTAATTCATGTGTACTGTCATAGAACTACTGCTCATAAACAAATCTTAATGCGGTATCAGAGCTGGGATCACTCTACCCGTCAGACTTTATTTTCGGTGACTGGAATATGACACCTGATGAGTGGGAAGATAGATGGCCCTCAATGTGAAAGTTGTTGTTATAATCAAACAACTGGAGAATTTATTAGTAGGAGTTTTCTGGTAGATGTATGGAGAAGTTTAAATCCAGGGGAAAAACAATACTCCTGGTATAAACCTAATGGTTCCTGTAAATCCAGAATTGATTACTGCTGATCATTGTATAATAGAAATACAATTAGATTCTGTCTAGAAAATTTAAAAGTAAACATCTGCATCTGTGCATGGGTATTGAAATAAATAAATATGTAAGTAACTTTTTTATGCAAGTAATTTCTTTTTAATATGAGATGGATGCCCTTATTTTCCTGCCCCCCTTGTCTGTGCACAGCCCTGAGATGTTAGCTAATCCAGAAATGAACTCCTGAAAACTCACCACGGAGGAAACGATCTGACTGAATGTCAGATGGTGCTGTTCCTGCCGTTAGAGGCTGTCGCGTCTGATGATGTCATCTGTAAAGCTGGTTGTTAACATTAGTTTGGTGTAGAAATCTCTCATATCTCTCTGTGTAGTCAGATGACTCATTCTTCGTGCTCTTACATTTACTGTTAGATTTAAACATACAAGAGTGATATGATGATATGATGTTGAAGGAGACGGAGCTCAGTTCTGCTTGATAATGACAGAAACTTTAGATACAACAGCTGGAAGTCAAGCTAGCTTTCAGAGACAATCCCCTGCTGCTAATCTGTCTTTTAATGGACGCACTACTTTCATTCATCAAACATTTTAACAGCGGTGAAAACAGGATGAGACAGATCCGAGACTGTCGGAGAGTTTCAGAGGATCGTTGCTGATGTGAGAAAGATGCAGGAGAGAACAGACACAGAGAAAAGGAGGAGCTGTTACTGGAGGAGTGGGACTAGGAGTAGCACTCGGACTTGGGATCCTTGGGACCTGGAATCCAGTAGGAGGAGCAGTAGCAACTGGAGCTGGTGTTGTTGTTGATGCAAATATATCAAAAAAGGTGACAGAAGATGGAAGTGCAAAGAGAGTAGAAGAGCTAGGGAAAGAATTCATGAGGATTGTAGAACCAGTGAAGAAGAACCTGGAAGAAATAAACACGACGTGTAAAGTGTTGGAGGAAAAATCAGCTGAAGTTCATGATTGAAAAACTCTGACAGAGATAATGGAGTTTGACATGATTTTGAGACGAGTGTTCGAACTGAGAGAAATGAGTAAAGGAGTTTTGGAGGTACTTGTAACTGTCTGTTGAATCTCATTGTGGCTGTCTTCAGAATCACTGCGACCCCTGAGCAGGATGAAAAGCCTCCATCATCCAGCCAGCTGATCTGTGTCAGAAGGTCACTGATGAGTTTAAAAAGACGAAGGAGAAACTCAGAGACTTCACGGAGACAGTAAATCTAGAAAGTCAAACAGTTTCTTCATGTCGCAGTATCTTTAAACTTCTGTTTGTGACTGTCAGAGTTTGGGGGAAGGTTGGATCATACTCGGATATCTGAGTGAAGGTTCAACCTGAAGCTGGACTGTGACTGAACACGAAGAAGAAACATGTTGAAATCTTTAAGTGAAGCCTGTTACTCAGATTTCAGCAGCAGGATAAATGTTGTTCATGATGTTAAATTTCTGTTGCTTGTCAGCATGGTGGTTTGTTGTCTCTGTGTTGTTATGTCTTTGATGTTCGCAGGGTGTCAAGTTTTCTCCTCTATTAAAATAATATGTGAGTTGGTTAACAACAAACCAATTCACATTAATTGATGACATTGATAAATATTAATTATCAATGACTTAATTTTATTCGAACTGGTGTGCGACACCTTTCTTTTTGTAAATACACCATCTACTGTTTCCTTGTTTGTTAATAAATGGTGATAACGCGGTTCGGTACTTTTGTCCCGTGTGGTTTACTGTACTCCTCTGAAGTGGGCTCTGGGATTGTAGTTCTGAAGACATATACAGTACAGAGCCCAACTCAATACTGGTACTACAACCTCCATAAAGCACAGGTCGTGGAGGGCTTTTGTTGTAGCCTCTTGTGTTGTTCGTGAGTGTCCACTGGCGTTTTTCCAAAAGCGCTAATCTGACAACCAAGTGGATGTAGCTTCAGCTGCTCTCCGTGAGTTTGTAGATTCATGTTTTTTATTCAGGTCATCCTCGTAGCACCATGTTGACACTCGTCAACTAGCTCTGCTTCCAATGTTTACTTCTCCGGCATGTCTTCTCCAGCCAGGGGAAAGTAATGCTTTGTTTCGGTGAAGATAATTTCATAGCGAGTATATCGAAAAGCCACCATGTTTGTACGACATATATTCAAACTGCTGTACGGATAATGCGCCAGCTGCCAGCACTTTGAACAGTTGGACAGCTTCCTCTCACGGGAAGCGAGCTGTTGTCGACAGTTGCAGATCCTCTCCGGCTCCATGATGGCGATGTTTCGGAGCTTTGTCTCGGCGAGCACCCAGCTCCGTCAGCAGCAGCCGCAACAGCAGCAGCCCAGCAGCGGCTCAGGCTCCCCGGCAGCCCCGGCTGAGGGCATCGAGAGCCAGTTCTCCTGTCCTATCTGCCTGGAGGTCTACCACAAACCCGTCAGCATCGCCAGCTGTGCTCACACGTAAAGTATCTACTTCTTGTTTGGATGTGTGTTGCTGTGCGTACAGTAAGTTACGGTGACATGTCGCTTGTTCATTCCAGGAGTGCTGTATGTGTGATGTTGTGTGGTTTATGTGTTGTTAGTCACAGCTGGACTGGGTTAGTTCATTTGGCCCATTGTTTTTCTAAAACATCTGGCAGCAGCTGCACCAGACAGTGCTGTTGTCATTCACCTTTGACTGATGTTGACTCCATCACTACAGTTATTATCCTCAAACAGATCATGTTATCATCATATTTGGCAATATGAACAAACATCCTCTAATTCATTGCAATGTTTTAGTGGTGGAATAAGGTGTAATGTGTTTTTTATACCCCAGCAATATGGTTTTAATTGAGATGTTTAAATGAGATGCGCAAATATTTTTGCATCTTTCAAACAAAATAAATAGGGCCTGACATATTGTCAGATAGACGCTTATCTCATATTGTTATCTGTAGGCTTGTAGGCCATACAGTCGAACCCAGACATCGCAGTACTTTATATTATGATGACATTATTGTATTACTGTATTTTATCCTTTAGGTGCTTTATTTTTATAATATATAATTATATTATTGGACTTTATGTTTCAGGTTTATGTTATCAAATATTGGCCTAAGCCTTGTTATCAGTGTAAATGTCAGCTGTTAAATAACACAAATTCACAGTACAGAAATACCAAAGATTTTAGGTTGAAGGTGGTTTAGAAACAGAGTCTCAGTTTCATTGTTTGTCACTCATCACAGTGGACCTGGTACCTCATGCCTGGTGATGTATTTCACTGAACAGTAGTGAAAAGCTCCTCACTGATGGTGACATCAAGCGGCATGGATGTCGTCCACAGAGAGAAAACAAGGCCACAGTTCTGTAAAGAAAAAACAAGCTGTCAGTCATTACACAGATGAAAACTCTCTGCATGTCAGCAGACCCAAGTGCAAGAGAAATAAGAGTTCTGATGACAGACATCAGGCTACAACACCAAAAACATCTTTACCAGAGAAGTGGAAGCTTGTTCCTCTGCACTGAGAACTGCATGTTGTGGTTTTCTTGTACTCTAACTTGCACATGTCATTAATTATTTCTGGATGAGGGTTTGCTGTGGGGGAAACAGGTATCTGAAGACTGAGGTCATCTTGGATCATTTGCAGTCAAGTTAATGTTGATGTGTTACTTGTGAAGACTTGTGTAACTGATGGGATAGTGATATTATCAACTCTTACTGTCTCAGAGAGGTGTATTTCGAATTGTTCTCAGCGTGGAGCTGAAGAGAACAACAGAGCAGATCAGACCTTAGGTAGCCTCAGTTCTATTTCTGGTTAAAGGGAAAATGCAGCTATTTTTACTTCTCTGCTGCTAATGGGGTTAGGTGAAACATGAGGTACTGACACTAATGTTTGCTTCTCACTGGCCCATACATACTGTACACACACATACACACAACAGATCAGACTCAGCTCTATACTGTGTGTGTAAAACATATGTCTGACTCCCAGTGTCTCCAGTTAAAGCTTTCATCTGTCAAATCCTTGTAAAGTTAATTCATCTGCTCAGAACAGATCATTTTCACACAGGCACAACCTAAGAGTGACTGTGTGTGTGTGTGTGTGTGTGTGTGTGTGTGTGTGTGTGTGTGTGTGTGTTGTGCTGTATATTGTGACTCTTAATTCAACATTGGATTTTGAAGGAAAGACTCCTGAATATGGTAGAATTTAGGGCTGCAAAATTAATCGAATATAATTGAAATCACAATATGGCCAAGTGCCATTTCCAAATCACAGGAGCTGCAATTGTTTTGATGAAGGTAAAATGTGTCACATTGTTGTTTGCATCATTAGCGTTGTGGTGCAAATCATATTCTCCAGATGTAAAGGAACATGTTAGTTTGATACAAGACCATCAAAAATCACATCATCATCATTTAAAAAAATTTTTTCAGTGAAAATGAAAATGCAAAAACAATCACTGTAAGTGAAACATACTGCAATTGCAATATCTGCCAAAAATAATCGCAATATGATTTGTTTGAATGATTTGCGTAATGTGCGGCTCTAGTAGAATTCTAACTTCTTCCACAAAAAACCCAGCACTCAGGGACAAAGTGAATACTGCTGTAAATGACATCCATGAAATGAACCTATGTTATAATTTCATATCATTCTAATACCATTAAACCATTAGTCACCTGCAAGAAAACCAATGGAAAGTAAGTTATAACTGATTAAATGTTAAATAAACAGAAAGACCCAAACATTTCTCAGTAAATCTGTGATGTGTTTTGTTTTTTTGTTTTTTGGGTTCATCGGTTTAGGCTAGGTTATTGATAATATCATAATTATTATTGTTACTTAGTAGTTTATTGCAATACAAAGCTCAATGTAAGGAATGTCAATTGGGGGGGGGGGGGGGGGGGTTCTCCTATCTGACCATCGGAATATACTGGTCCCTTAAAGGCTGGCGAGCGTCTCCCTACACCAGCAGGGTGACTCTGGGTGGGGACAGAGAGGGAGCAGTACCTGCCCTGCTCTAACTTCACCTTTTCTCCTCTGCTGTTCCAGGTTCTGTGGGGAGTGTCTGCAGCCGTGTCTTCAGGTGACCTCACCCCTCTGCCCTCTCTGTCGTGTGCCCTTTGACCCCAAGAAAGTGGAGCGCTCCTCCAGTGTGGAGAAGCAGCTGGCCTCATACAAAGCACCCTGCAGGGGCTGTAGCAAGAAGGTAGATACTGACCGTCAGCACCAATGTCACAAAATCATGGGCGTAACTTTCCATACTCTGATTAGTGTCTGATTATTATTACTTGGTACATAAATAGATATCATCTTGTGACTGTAACTTTTCTCCAGAATGTAAGATGTATGAAGATACAATTCATATTTTATTTTTGCAAGTATTATTTATTTTACAGCTGCTGTGAGAAGTGATGGTGCCTTGAAGTGTAAAACATTTTAGAAAATAAAAGCACTTAACAGAAAATAACCCAAATAAAATAACAAAACAAATCTACTGTATAAAATAAAAACACACATACATGTACAGTACGTATCAGTTAAAATGTACACAAGCACAGAGCTGTACAAGATAAACAGTGAGACTGGTGTGACAAAATGAACCCACACCATGCTAGTGAAGATGTTACTGATATTGATATATAATGTGTGTGTGTGTGTGTGTGTGTGTGTGTGTGTGTGTGTGTGTGTGTGTGTGTGTGTGTGTGTGTGTGTGTGTGTGTGTGGGAAAACTCTTTGAATTCTGGATTTATTGAATGGGAATGAAACCATAACTTGATAGCAGGCAGATTGATACCTGAAAGTCAACATTACCTACTGGGTCTTGTTTTGAGTATAGATAATGACAGGAACAGGATCGATCCGTCTCACGTTAGACCACATTCTGGCATATGAGTGATATGATATGACTCTTGTTAGTGCTGCACTCTTTGCTTCTCTGCTGCTGTTGTGTGTTTGCGCCTATCACCCCACTGGTGCTTTCACATGCAAGTGATTAAGTAATTAACAGAAGATAATTTTGAAAAAAAATGCGTGTGTGTGTGTGTGTGTGTTCTCAGGTGGCTCTGGCGAAGATGAGGTCCCACATTGCTTCCTGTTCTAAAGTACAGGAGCAGATAGCCAACTGTCCCAAGTTTGTCCCTGTGGTCCCCACCTCCCAACCTATACCAAGGTACACACACTTGACAGTGACAGTGCTCAGCTGCAGAGACTATGTATGTTCACATTAGCAACTACATTTCCCATGAGTCCCAGCCATAGGTGCACTATCAAAGCTTCAGTGGAAGTTTACATTGTTGTATTTAAGTAGAGTACATTCCACATACATCTTTCTCCACTGTCTCACAGTGAAATAAACCCATACACAGATCATAAACCATGTGATAAATTGCACATGACCACACTGTACATTCTGACTCATTACCTATAAATTTCCAAGGCTAGTTAGCAGGATTGAATTAGCTGCTACAGGCTTGTGATAATTCATGTCCTCTCTTTGTGTCCTCTCTCATGTAGCAATATTCCAAACCGGTCAACATTTGTGTGTCCATTCTGTGGGGCCAGGAACCTGGACCAGCAGGAACTGGTGAAGCACTGTATGGACAACCACCGTAATGACCCCAATAAAGTGGTAAGAGACTACTCTCTAATATACCAGGTGATCTACACTAACTCAGCTGATCCTGAATCTCCAGATGTGCTCTCAGTTAGTCCCAGAAACAGCTTTTTTAGATAGATAGATAGATAGATAGATACTTTATTTATCCCCTCTGGGAAATTCATGTGTCCATTAGCTCATTGTTGTATAATAATAATGATAATGATAATGATAATGATAATGATAATGATAATGATAATGATAATGATAATGATAATAATAATATAATAATAATAAAAACAGTTGATAATAATAAAAACAGTTAATAATAAATAAAGATAGATTAGATAGATAGATTAGTCCACTTCCTTTGGCTGAGGTGTTGTATAGCCTGATGGCAGTGGGAACAAAGGATCTCCTGAACCTCTCTGTTCTGCAGTGCAGTGAGATGAGACATTTGCTGCAGCTGTAACTGATTCTCTGTCCTGCCAGAATGTTGTGGAGAGGATGGTTGGTATTGTCCAAGATGGCCTCCATCTTACATTGCATGCGTCTCTCCCCAACAGTCCTGAGTGAGTCCAGACTCCTGCCAAGCACAGACCCAGCCTTTTTTACCAGCTTATCCAGCCTCTTTGCGTTCATGTCGGACATCCTGCTGTCCCAGCAGACTGCAGCATAAAAGAGTACACTGGCCACCACTGACTGATAAAACATGTGCAGCATTTCACTGCAGACGTCAAAGGACCTGAGCCTCCTGAGGAAAAAGAGCCGCATGAACTTTTTTTAGAAACCCCAGAACAGTTTCAGGTTCTCAGGAACTTTATCCACATTTTGTCTACATGAACCGGGTTTTGGTTCCTGGTCTTTGCTACTGCCCACCCCAAAACATCATCATTCCTGAGGTGTCAGGGTGGAGTAGCCGTACTGAACACACTAGAGACCTCCAGACTACAACTCCTTGTAATCTGATCTTATTAACATCTTCATGCTTCCAGTTTTGTGCGCATATTTCATGTTGTATTTTACATCACATTTGATTTACTTTTGAATGCTCTGGGTGTTTTGTTTCTAATGTCTTGTATGTGATTTATCTCACTTTTGGCATTTTTGTATTTTACACATTGTTCATGTCATTTAGTTTTATGTCCAGCCCTTTAACACATATTTTGAGCAATATTCTGCTGTAATAAACTCTGACTTGACTTCAGTTCAGTGTCTGATTACACATGCATGTGACTGTCTGTCTGAGTTGTGGCAGTAGCTTGACATAAACTGTGGTGTGTGTGTGTGTGTGTGTGTGTGTGTGTGTGTGTGTGTGTGTGTGTGTGTGTGTGTGTGTGTGTGTGTGTGTGTGTGTGTATCTCTATCTCTCCAGGTGTGTCCAGTGTGTTCAGCCATGCCGTGGGGAGACCCCAGCTATAAGAGCTCCAACTTCCTCCAGCATCTTCTCCACAGACACAAGTTCTCCTATGACACCTTTGTTGTAAGTCCAATTCCTGTTGATTTTAATGTTTAAAAATAACATTTTTAACTTTTACTGCAAGGAAATCATAGAATCATTTCAACAAAGCTAAAGGGAAACATATTCTTTCACCTCTCTTTGGCTGATATCGCTCTGTATAGATTTGGATTCATCTGTCACTGAGATTTCTGCCTCCATTCTAATACAATGGAGGGAATTTTTTCTGTGCTGCTTACAGTACTGAAAAGTCATTTTTTATAAACATTCAACAGCAACATCATCGCTGAGAACACACTTCCTCTGTAGATAGTAGTTCCAGTGGAAGCCAGGGAAGGTGGTCCTGCTTTATCCCCTGATCCTGAGAAGCTCCCATGAAGAGGGTCCTGTGTCAAAATCTAGTTTTAATACATTGTTTCAGTTGTATGCATATTCTTAAATGAATGTGTTTAATCCAATAGAAAAACACCACACAGACAGGGAGGGGGGTTAATGCAGTCCAATAGCTGAATGTTTGCTGTGGTGCTCCCTGGCAGGGTGATGTGGCCATGATGAAATCATCAAATCTGATGTCACACATTCTTACATGATATAACAAAAATATAAACGCAACACTTTTGTTTTTGCTCCCATTTTTCATTCATTGAAATTAAAGATCTAAGACTTTTTCTAAACACACAAAAGACGTCTACTACGAACTTCTGCTTTGCCAAGATCATCCATCCACCTGACAGGTGTGACATGTCAAGATGCTGATCCCACAGCATGATTACTGCACCGGTGTGACTTGGGTTGGTCTCAGTAAAAGGCCACTTTAACATGTGCAGTTTTATGTTGAAAAAGGCAGAGGCTACAGATGTACAGTTTTTTATGGGGAGGGCCGTGGGTCAGAAAACAAGAGAGTATCTGGTGTAACCACTGTTTGCCTCATGCAGTGCGACACATCTCCTCTTCAGAGAGTTGATCAGGTTGTTGGTTATTGCCCACTCCTGTTCAGTGGCTTCAGTGGTTACTTCCTGAAGCCACTGTATATATAGACTTCCATATATTACACACCTCCATATATTTAACACATGTATACACACATAAAAAACATTTGACTATAAGTCACCACTGGTAAATTCATGTACTTAAAAGGCCTAATTTATTCCCAAAACTAGTGAAGCAGGTTTCCAGCTGTAGAAGAATTGTATAAGAACAATGATATGGTATAACGTTTGGGAATTTTCAGACCTTATCATCACATTGGGACTTTTTCCACTGGTCCACATCTAAGAAACATCCGCCTGTCATATTTTGTACATGTGTATGTTATGTAACAGTATGTATATGTTACAGTGAATCTACATGTTACACATGTACTCACCGTCAAACCTACACCTGATAACTGGAGTCACATGGGGGTTTATCTTCTATTGAACAACTTATTCTTTTAACCTTCAGTAATAATCACTTGCAGTTTTCAATGCTTATTGTTCTCTAGGTGTCTGACTCCCATGAGCACGTGGTTGCATAAGGAGATTTCTCCAGGTTGACAGTTTCACTATAAAAATAACTCAGTATTTTATTTTTGTGTCCACCTGACTGAGCTGATATAACTGAATTTACAAATATCTGAAACATTGCTTTTGTTCTAGTCCACACACTCATCAATTTACTGTTCCATCATACAGATCTTGTAACAAAAGTAAAAGCATAATATACTTTAACTGTCTTTCAGCAAATAATGTTAATGTGTCTCAATGAACGGTATATCAGACAGCAAAAATAATTCACAATTGATTGTTTATGAATCAGGAAAAACGGATGAGGAAGTGTTTCTTTAGTGTTTGTTTGATTCATGTAAGTGTAAGGTTTGGATCTATGTTGCACTGACTATTATAAAAAAAATCCCCATCACATTATTTGTGGTCATTTGCACATATAGTCACACAAAAGGACATTGATTTTGTGCGAATACATACAAGTGGCCCATGGAGCAGCCTCCTTAAATAATGGATGGTCCATAGAATAATATTTATTTAAACTTTATTTGTACAGCACCTTTCATACAAGAAATGTATGAAATGAAATGTACAACAAAGAAATGAAATGCTTCACATGAAAAGACATAAAATGAAACATTAAAAACACTGATGTAAAAGGAGATGGAATAATAATAAAATAATAAATCATTAAAATAGAAAAATGATTACATAGAATGCATAAAATTGGTAAGACATCAATATTCATAACAGCATTTAAAATAAGTGCTGAGCAAAGTGCAAAATTGTAAAGAGATAAGGTTTTATCTTTCTTTTGAGAACACTTCTTCTCTGGTATCTACAGGTCATGTGTTCCACACATAGACTGTATATAAAGGGTTCCACAGCTTTGGGCTGTAACTGACAAAGGCTGCATCCCCAATTTTCCTACAGCTGTTACTGGAACCTTCAATAAAGCATCAGCAGATGACCTCAGTGTTCTCGGAGGTCTATAGTTAATCAGGGAGTTAAGATGCAGCTTGGTCCTCGCCCGTTAAGGCATTTGTATATAAGGAGGAGGAGCTTAAAATCTATTCTAAATGTAACAGGAAGCCATAGAAGAGGTAGTTAGATGCAGGTTGTGTGGTGTGGTGTACAGTGACTCTCAGCTGTTGTTTCTTGCGTTTCATCAGGACTACAGCATTGATGAAGAGGCAGCACTGCAGGCAGCTCTGGCACTGTCACTGGCTGAAAACTGACGAGTCCCACCACCATCGTCCTCCTCACTGTTAGCACAAACTCCACCATAACTGCTGTCACCCTGGTCCCGCTGCACTGCTGCTGTTCCTCCCTGACTGAGAAGGTGTCATCCATCCAACAGACACACCTGACCCTCACAGTGTGTGCAGAGATCCGACTCACTGAGACGTCCAGCCAGTTTTGGATTAGGTGATAAACTCTGTCTTTTCACACCAAGGATATTTGTATTCTGGTGTAATATTAGTGTAAGCGTTACAAAACAACGGGAGTTTGGATGTACTGGATCTTCACTGCTTCATTTGGACTTAATGATTTGAAGACAGAGGATCCTGTGGGTTTGGAGTGGATCCAGTGGTCCAGACCACTTCTGAATGTGGTCTGAGTGATCGGATCTCAAATGTGTCCTCAATGCGTCTTGGGTGCGTTCACACCTGAACTTAAAGCTGATCACTGGTGATCAGATCACCTGAGACAGATGTTAACACCAGGTTTGAACAGGGCCTTCACCCTTCACCAGTAGTTCAGGTCTCTGACAACTCAGCTCAGCTCAGTAGGACATGAAGAGCTGGAGCTGTTCGTAGTGCAGTAACATGGTAACACTTGAAGTGGTACTGTCCATGACATCCTCTAATGGTCATGGTCTGTAGGTTTGAGGACCACACCATAAGTTGGGAACATCCCCTCTCCCCCTCAAAACCCAACCATTTATACTTTCTACAACCAAGACTGAAAGTAAATTTCTTTCTCGAGGGTCTGTGTGATCCATCTCAGTTGGCAGTTTATTAGGAACACCTGGCTGAAACTAATGCAGTCTCAGAAAACTCTCCAGTGACATATCCTCCTTCATGAAGCTCTGAATGTTCAGTTTTTGTTGAAACTGTTTCAGAGAGGTGTCGGTTTAACTGTGGGATCGTTTTGGAGGCTGCAGTTGGTTACTTTTTCACAGATGCTCCTAATAAACTGCCAGCTGAATACACACCTGTGCATGCAGACATCCAGTGGAGTACTAACAGAGGCAAATCAGCTGTCCACTTATGTTCTGGACCATATCAGGCCGAAGGCTCTTTACACGCCGCCACCAAACACACACACAGTTTCCTCGGCTCATTGTCACCTCAGTGCTTCGTGTGGAGCCTCACTCACAGATGTAGACAAAGAAGCTTAAAATCAGCATTTAGAGTTGTGTTAACTTCACTTGGCACAGTAATGGCAGTGTGATTGGTCAGTCTTGATGTTAGATGCTAATGGCAGATTAGACTTTTCCAATATGGAAGAATTATCAGGTTTCTAATCCATGACTCTGATCAAAGATTTAACATTCAACGCACTTCAGTCTCTTTGGACGGAAGCAGTTGGCATCAGGAGCTGGGTCCTTTAACCAGATCCCAGAACAGCTGGACTCATTGGTAAATTCACCCAAAGAGCCAAGTGTTGAAGTGAGCAGAGTCAGACCGCCAGCTGACATCCGGACCTGTGGAACTGATCAGTGTCATGTTGAACTAGTTTGAAATGTTTCCATGATAAATTGGTATTTTGGCAGCACCAAACTGGCTGATACACATCCTGGAAGCTGAGCCGCAGCTCATCCGTTACTGTCCAACCCCAGCTTCACTGAAGACAACAGCAGAGACATAAACCCAAGAGATGACAGACTTGCATCAACGAAGAAAGGATCACTCACCATGTCCCTAACAGCTCATACAACGGCGTCATTCATCCACAGTATGTTAACGTTTACAATAACAGACATTAGCAGCCCATTCACTGTCACACCCAAAAGCAAAGTTGAACAGTTCCTATTTTTTATCCGTGTGAATATTTGCACTTGTTAACGTTTTTTTCTACCAGATTGATCTGCAGATATTAGCTGTAAAAAATCAGACAGGTTGGAAGTGCTGGATTGAGGTCTGACCTCCGTGTTACTGTTACCTGCTTCAACTCTTGCTACAAGGAATATTTTTATGATGCATCTGCCAAGATAAATGAGTATAAAAAGATATATTTTTGGAAAATGTTTCCGTTTCAAAACCACCAGACTAATATCAGACATGGGTCACATATGTGTCTGCAACCTTTCTGGGACACTGAAGTTGATTTACAAACTTGAATTGCTGTTCTCACACACACACACACACACACACACACACAAGAAACTTGTACAGGACTAGAGAGGATGGGACTTGTTGAACAGAGGTGTTTTCTGTAGTTGCACCAATAGATGGCGTCCTTCTCCAGACATGCAGAGCCATACTGAAGCCCTCACACACACAAACACATGGAGACCATGTTTTCTATGGAGGCAGGATGTGGAGAAAATAGAAAGGCTAACTTTGGCTAATGTTTCCACAGAAAGATGCATCCATCATTTGCACTTTAATTCATTCAGTTTTTTAATAATAGTTGGAATTCTTTTTGTATAATCTTAACTCTTGTTTAATGTTTTTTGCAATTAAATCTCAATGAAGATGAGTCTTTAGTTTAAAAAAAGATCTTGTAAATTGTAAAAGGCGTCAGATGTTAGTTTGTTTGATAGAAAATGTACCATTAGTTTAATTTGTATGACAAAAATCTCAAATATTTGTTGACTGAATACTTCATTTAAATGGGCAGCATGTGCCATGTGTTTCTTCCAATGATGTTTTTTGTGAATCCTCTTTATGCAACAGCAGAGCTGACGTTGACCCACTGTAATCACAGGAGGAGTTCTGGCCTGTTGTCACCACAGATCACAGATCAAAACATGGATCAGATCATACAGAAGTGAAGTCTTCAGACTGAGCATGAAGCTGATTTTCTTTTGCATTACTGATGCAAATTGGACTGTTGATAACTACAGTGGCCCTGAGAGATCAACACACTGCTGCACAACTTAAGAAAAAATGCAAACAGACAAAACACAAACAGCTTCAGAAATCATCTTCATCAATTTGACAACACATGAAGTGTTTCCAGGGGACACTAAAAAGTGATGCAGGGGCACCCCGGTGCATACTGTAAGGGCTTAGTCCTAACCGCAGTGAGCCAGGTTCATGCACGACTTGTGGCTCTTTGCTGCATATCATCCTCTCTCTCTCTCTCTCTCTCTCTCTCTCTCTCTCTCTCTCTCTCTGTCTCTCTCTCTCTCTCTCTGTTGCCATTGAAATTAAGGCAAAAAAATAACTTAAAAAAGTGATTAACTTGGCTAGGACAGACTTGAGTGGATGTATTATGAAACATCTATGTGCACTTGTTCAACACTTCTTAACTTCAAAAGTTGCAAAGTATTGAACAACAAGTTTGTTGTGAGTACTTGCAGCTCATGTGTTGTCAAACTGATGAAGATGTTTTCTGATTTATTTGTTTTGTCTATTTGCATTTCTTAAGTTTCAGTGTGTTGAGCTCTCAGGGACACCGTAGATAACGGACTGTGCAGACATCAGCTGTCTGATGTCAAAATTCACCAGGATTCAGTTCAATAACTTCCTATTATTTTCCAACACACTCCTCTCAGTTTCTCTGTTCGTGCATGAATCATAAAACATTGGGATGAGCCCAAATCCCTTGCTCTTGTTGATACAGTTTTTTCACTGTAATCTGAGCTTCCAAACATATTGACCAAAATATTAGAGCCCGACCGATATTGGATTTTTGGGGTTGATACCGATATTATGGAGTGAAAAATTCAGATATCAATATATCGGCCTATATTGTCAAAAATTACATCAGTGCACTGAAGTGGTAAATTTAACTGGGAATTAAATAACTATCGAAATAAATAACTATAAATAAAAAACATAAGAACAAATACACTATGTATATATATCATATATATATATTTAACTTAAATGAAAACAAAGGATCAAATATACATAAAATGCTGCCTATATAACTTGACTTTAACCGAGCATTTCCACTGCATTATTGCTTCTTAGTAAAAGTTTTCATATCAGTGCATATCGGAGAATATATGCACCGATACCGATAATCTGTGATAGACCGATTAAAATATATCCAATCTCACACCTTTGTGTTGACATTAGGAGGTGCTGCTGCACTTTAAAAATTAACCTCACGTTCAGTCTGAACACAGCTTTTAAAATTTTAATGAAAAAAGTCACAGCTCCATCAATGAGTTTTTTTTTCCTCTTCAGAAAAACTGATGACTGACACTTTTAGCGTATGCACCATGAAAAGATTCATCTGTCTTCTTTCTGGTGTCAGTATTCTTCTTCAGTAAAGTGCATATCATGCTCATAATATAAAAACTTTAAATCTTTCACGTAAATGAAAGCTGTTTTTAATATTTGAGTGGATTTCACAGCCCTCAAACAAACACAACTATTTCTTCTGTTTTTTATATTCATGTTATAATAGCAATCTTTTCTAAATGCTTGTTACCTTATGCTTGTTCACAGCACTCTTACCTCTGTAGCAGAACTCTTAGAGTCTTATTTTGTTACGGTTTATGTACTCCATGTTTATCAGTGTCTTTCTGAACTATTTAGTTAAACACATTTCCCTCAAGACATGTAAATAATCTGTTTTTGTGCTGTTGCATTTAATATGTTATGAAACTGTTCCTGCTGATGTTTGAAGGCAGCTGTACAGGTTACAGCAACTCAGCAGCCACATACACAGAGAAACACGGAAGATCAGGAGCTAAGTGTGTTAGACTGTGGAGGCTTTGGAGGATTTTCTTAACAATGTGTAGTGCAAACATGGATGTGCATGAACACTGTCTGGCTTGTTAGGATTAAAGGAGTGGTTCAGATTTTTATCGCAAAACAATTCTCACTTGCCATGTGTAGTCGCTGTAATCTGTAGTAGCAATCAGCGACATGGTAGACATGTATTTTAAATTCAGATGAAGCTAATAGTCTGAGTGACCCAAATCAAGTGGGTAGCGTTGTTCTGGTTATTCATATGGTGGTTTGTTGTTGGTGATTCCACAGCAAGGAAATACCGCCTGTGGTAACAGGAAGAGCAAGTTTCATTCTCAAAAGTCTGTAACTTAAGGTGACCAGATTTTTTAAAATGAAAACCGGGGTCATCTCCAGTTCGACGGTCAATATATATCAGTAAAAATATCCAATGTTTTTATGTATTTTGTGTAATTATGTAAACTGTGGTGAAGGCCAACTGATAAAATTAGTAGGGTTGCCAACTGTCCCACAAAATAGCCTTACGGAAACATCCCCTAATTGGAAACAAAAAGATGTTTTCCGTATTGAACTGATACTGCTAGTTGTCCTGTATTTTTGAGACTCAATTCAGTGTAATTCTATGGAAGATAAATATGACAGGTTAGACTATTAAAACAGGGTATTTTGTTTGATTTCTAACCAATGAGTGAGGCAGATAACCTTTTGTCTGCCTAGAAACAACAAAAAAGGAAAAATTTGATTTGATAAGTCTTATTTATCTTTTTTTTTTCTTATTTATTTCTTATTTTGCTAAAGCTAGCAGCCAGCTCGCTCTGTTGGCCAAACAAGCACAACGCTAGACATCTGCCTGTCTGCTCTGCTGCTCCGCCCTGTCTTTAATTCAGTTAAAAACGCTGCCATTTGCGGGGACAGCTCCAGACGGAGACAGGCCATGGAAAACAGGGATGTCTGGTCAGCCTACTGTAATTTTTGAGATAGCTAACTCAGACTGTCCACACCTCATTAGCTTTAGGATGCACAGAACAAAGGGAATGCTACATGGCTAGCATGG